TGTGTGTTATTCTTTGGCAGCTAATATAAAACTAAAAAAGAAAATGAGAGACACAGAGAAAGGTGAAGAATGCAGGAAAACTAACAAACAGATGGAAATTATAGAGGAAAAAAATTTGAACAAGGAGCCAGCATCAAAATAGAAGAACAAACGCGAAACGACGGAAACACACCGAAATTTATTGCCTTTGGTAAAGAAGTTGAAGAAGAAGAAGAAGGAAAAACCTAATAATAAGTACTTATGTGAGATTCAAACGGAATATACCGGACCGGTTCAATGGCGACGATCACGACACACAATCTCACTTCGGCACACCGAACTGAAAGAGATGAAAAAAATCGTCGGAACAAAAAACAACGACAACGCACATCGCACGAATGAATGAACATCTAGAGATGGAAAAGAATTGTTAACTCTGCACATATCGATATATACCATATTCATGTGCTTCGTACTCGGGTACGATGTAACTAAATCTAGCGGTTTGACTAACTAGCATTCTCATCAAATGTTTCATTTCATGTTTTTTTGTTCCTTCTTTTTCTTTCTGCTCATTTGATCCCAAACACACCCTTTTATCCGGTTTTTTTTTACCATTTTATTCTCTTTTCGGGGGGGTTTTCTGTTATAAATTTTATTAAGATGATGGAAAAAGAAGTGAGCCGAATGAAAACATTGAAATTGGCATGAAAGCCAATTCAACAGAGACCCGACCAATGGAAAAAAAGGCATCAAATCGTAACATGTAAACAAACAATATTTATTTGTAAGATGATGATGAGTGCGTTTGTAGTGTGTGTGTGTGCAATATTAAGCCATTGAAGGAATATTTTGAGCTTATGTAGGGCTCAAGGAATCAGATTAGAAATGGCTTGCCGCTGATGATATGTTGTTTTCATCACACACCCGTAGACAACTCAATCGATGGTAAAATCATAAAAAAAAACCGAATTCAATGATTTTCCGTTGATCCACATAAAAAACAAACAAACGTGGAAGGCAGGCGAATCGCACCAAATTAAATTACTTGCTTACGAGCATTACGGGCCAATTTGTAAAATTAAATAATAAATATGAATGAATAGCTTCATCGGATCGACGTTTTTGAAAATCTAATCGCACGTGTGCATATTACATTAAGCTTTGCCTCCCCCGAGAAAAAAGTGAAAGTGCCAAAGGTACACACTCCCGTAAAACTAAGCAAATTGATTTTACCGAATTTTTGAACCGTATGTTTTCCGCAAAAAAACCTATAAATATGTCGAAAATGTGTGGCAGTCAGCAAATTCATCAGATTGTAAATTGCCGCATTGGCATGTTTAGCATCCAAAAATTTACTGACACACACAGCAACAGTTTTATCAAAAATTTTTGTTGAACCACTAAAATCGCGCATAAGCATGTGTGTAGACGAAACGCTCGTCACTTGGTTCCTAATCAACCAAAAACAACAATTCAATTTGTAATCCCGTTGAGCTCAAATGGTAATCTCCTTTAATACTCTATTCCAACGTAACACTGATATCGAGCACATATTATTATGGGCGGCAATTTTTCCTCGTCGAATTGACAAAACAATCAAATTAAAACATGTTTTGGCATACGATGACGGCAAACTCAAACTGATATTAATTGCACGACATTTCAATGAAAATAAGCGGCCAGAAGCCGATTTTCGATTGATTCCATCAACTTGGAGCATTTGTTATCGAGCGCCACTTTGATTCACTGATGCAAACGATACGATTCTCGAACGTAAACTTAAAAGTAGCGGAAGATGCTTTAAACAACACTGTAATGTACACGTGCCACAATTTCATGGTTTCATCTTTTTAAAATTTCTTTTTTTCTAAATGTCAATCATTTTTTCTTGTTCGTCGACATCGAAACAGCATCGGATAATAATTAAAAAAATGTTCAATTTGAAGAATTGTGTATTTTTATTTGCAATCGCTAAACATTTCTAAGCAGATGGAAAAGTTTTCGCAACAAAGTTCTGCCAACGCACTGAAAAATGATTTAGAGTCTTGCATTGTAAATAAGTTGCAAACAAAATGGACGTTAAAAGAAAGTGTGAGCGTTATGTTGTGTTTTTATGTTTCTAAAATCGCGATATACCCCGAAAAACTCGTGCCTGTCATAATGAATAATATGGCCGTAATTCAAGAAAATGTAATAAATTTACATTTTAAATATTTTATGCAACATTTACATGGTTGTACAATGGATGGTGATGGTGCGTTGCTATTCACAAATGCAGACTTTTCCTTGTTAAGTTCACATACATAATTTGTATGGAAATTGTGTACTTTTCGTCTGTTCGCTATATCAAAAAATAAACCGTTCGAGACCCGTCCAAAAATTATCGTTAAAATGATGAAGAATGAGCTATTTTCGAAACGAAAAAAAAAACGATGCATGCAAAATTTTCATTCAAAAATTCCAGTTTCAAGAGAGTTGCTCGTGTTTCGAAGCACCAACAATAATAACAATAATAAAAATACAAGAAGGTAAAGAAAGTTCGAACAAATCAAAGAAAATACATAAAGTATCTTCGGTAATGGGGCCCCATCATTGTTGTGCGAAAGTGGTGTACACCCGTCACATTTTTGTTGGTCGATTTGTGCACCCCATTTAAATATATTTAAAAATATTCAGCAGCAGTTAAAATAATGATCAAAACCATATTTACATAATCAACGGGAAAAAACATTACGACCTTGTCTTTTATCGTGAACTTTCCGAAGAGAAAAATATTGTCAGCAAAAAAAAAACAAATTCCAACTACATACGACCAGACGCCTGCAATTCATCATAGAAAATACACCAAAGACGGGACGGGAGAGAAAAAAACAACAACCATACTCTCTCTCTTTCTTTTATAATTTATGGCTATTTATTCTAACCGCTAAACAAATGCATGCACAAACTGTTGTGACTTTCAATACACTCCCAATCAAATGCACAGCCAAACACATCTAGTTTTATTGTTGGTGACTATAGAATAATGATGATTCTGTTGGTTTTTGCCTTTGTGCAAACAAAACGGAATTTATTGTCAACTCATTTTGTTATTATCATCACACATTTGCCAACTTTGGCGATCCTTTCTATTCAATGTCGCACGAACAATGGCTCTATACCACACTATCCCTTCACTATTTTCAAATGGCAAGTCAATTTATCTTCTTTTTTTTCACATTCGAACCGTACAATAACAGTAACTTTAACCTTGTTCATGATCTCTTTTCTGTTTCCCGTTTTTGATGGTTCTGATGTTTTCATTCTCGGTCACATTTTTTTTCATTCTTTTTTTCAACAAAACTGGAAATATGAAGTAAGCAAAAAGGCAACAGAAATTGTGATTCGAGAAAAGCATCATCAATCGAATCTGGGGTATGTAAGCTTTTAAATCATCAATGCGTCAACGGTTTTTGTGTCATGGAATAACAAATTTTTTTTATGGTAATCATATTCAATAAATGTTAATTAATCCATTTATTCTGTAAATATTGAGTGGAATTAGTAATATAAAATAAAATCCTCGAAGTATTTTGAACTAAGACACTTGATTTGTTAAATCAAATAATAAATGCATATCGATTCCATAAATAATTACATGACATAACAAAATATGTTACCAAACTAATGTACCCAATACTGCGGTTTGCGCAATTCCATTTTTTCCCCGGCTGAATTTAATTAAATTTGATTAAAAATGTGCATTCAAATGAGTCAAATGAATTTATTGGTTGATTCTTTTTATTCAACCCACTTTTTTTTTAATTTTAAATTGTATTTATGGCGATAATGTATTCAGTGCTTCCATTTAAAAAACGAGCGCAATTGTAAATATGAGTCAGAATAATGTTTGTCGGATTACAATTGTATGTGAAATAATGATCCAAACTCATAAAAATGTTGTGCATGTTTGCACAAAGCACCCACAAATAGATAGAAAAAACGCCATTTTCGCTGTGTAAATTAAAACTGCAATAATATTTTTTATCGAGAGAGAAAAAAAAAGAAATGCTGTCGAATATTTTGTAATATATCATTACTGGAAAAAAGGTACAAAAACAAAAAAGTGCGCTGCACAATAATATATGACAAAAATATGATTTGCTTGGACGTGAAGTGAATTGAGGCGCGCATCTGGTATTGGGCGTTAAATAGTTAACTTTATTTATTATCATTTTAACATATATCCATTTTCGTGATACAATAAGTGTGACACTGCAGCATCGGCTCATACTCTCTTTCAATGTGTGTACACGATGCCAAATTCATAGTTCGATGAACACATGCAAGCATATTTGCTGTCAATTCATGCCGATATGTTGTCATCTTTTCTGTTGACATTATCTGAATTCAGCACGTAAACATTAATTCATAATGTGTGCAATGTAATAAAGTGTCCTGCAACTTCTAAATATGCTTACGCCGTATCTGTTACTCTCGGTCTCATTGTACGTCATACACTCTTCGATATTTCCATTCAATGTCACATTATTATCCATTTGAATAAGAACTGCTGTGTAATAAATGATTACAAGCACTGAATGTACACAACTTTTGGCCTTTGACACATACGCGGCATACAGGGATATAGGAAAAATAGGCGGTTTATTTTGCATCATTTTTTTTATTGAAAACGTAGCCCTCAATACATACCATTTTTGTGTTACCCTTACACCTTTTTTATTCGTTCGAATCAATTTTTCATTTTTATTTGAAAAAAAAAAAACTATAAAATTAAAACAGGAACTGAACGATGCATAGAACGATGGTTTTAATGAATAGCTGAAGAGTTGAATAGCAACAGAGATGAAAAACTTGAATAGCAACAGAGTTGCTGTCATTTTCAATAGATGGCGTGTGACACTATGATACGCTCCATATTTTAACGAAGACGCCGTGTTTTTCTTTCTTTAAAACATTCGCATCGAAGTAGCACTTTTAAATTGTGCCTCATTTTTAAATGTTCAATCAATCAAGTACGATTTAAAATTCAGTTTCAGATACAATTTTGACCGCATTAGATTGAAATTTGAAAGTGGCAAACATGAGTTCCGCACAAAAATCAGAACACAAAGGTATTTTCAATTGGAAAAAAACCATCCAAACACCGACCACATCTCGAAATAATTCAAGATCTGCGTCGAAAAATAACTCAAGAGCAACATCGCCAAGAAAACCGGAAGTCGAAAAAAAATCAACGCAACTACCAAAAATGGAAAGAATGTCGCGAATTCGCTTACAACGCAATTCGATTATAAATGTGACGAATAAAGTCGATAACGCTGTGCAAACTGAAAAGAAGTCTGTGGTTTTGCCATCAGAACACCCGACTCCCAAAGATATCAAAGACATTGTTGATGATATTACGTCACCGTTTAAAAAAGTTTCGGTAATGCGATGAAAAAATTAGAGTTTTTTTTTATTTCGAAATCTAATTAAAAAGCGAAAAATAAATAAAAATTCAATAATTTTGAGCAGGAATTGATTGAAAATCTGGACTCATCATTGAATGACTTTGAATCGGTTGATGTTAAGAGTTCGACCTTATCAATTGGAAATGAGTCTTATGTGAGCGCAAAAAGTAGCAGCGAATTCACCGACAATTCTGAATATTGCGGTGGACGTGGGGTAATTTAAAGCGTGAACTCACAACTATAAAATGTGCGGTTTGTGAAAACCAAATTTTAAAAAAACCTGTTTCTTCTTATCTATTTACCAGGGCTCTTTGCTTGATGATTGTACGCAATTATTGGTGCGCGAACTTGTTCATTCCATTCAAGAAAATGTAAGCGACAAAATCGCAATGCAAAAGATGAAAATTCTCTTAACGCAATTGAACGAGCGAATTGTGCTTGCTGGCCAAATGTACAAGCATCAAATGAAGAAAATGAAGGACATCCAAGACACATCGTTCGCTGAACTATTCATGGAGAAAAATGAACAAATTACCAAACTTCAAATTGAAACTGAAGAATTGAAGAAAGAGAACGAATTCAATTCAAAAGCATCGCGTGAACTATTGATGGCCAAAACTGAATTATCTCGTTTGAAAGAGATTCTGACGCAACGAGATGAAGAAATTTATCAGTTGAATTACAAATCCATCTGTGCACGATCCCAAATTGAACTATTACAAACTGAAAAGAATGCCAAGTCACAACATTTCAACGCCAATGAAAAGGAGATTGAACATCATTTTAGAACACTCAAAAAAATACTTACGTCGAATCGTGATTTATTAAAATTACTGAAACTTAAACAATACAAATGAAAAAAAAAAATTAAATTTGAGAATGAAACAAACGATTTTTGTTTAAAATCAAACAAAACAACATGATTGATGAAAAAAAAATTTTTGTTCAAATTAAGATGGTATTGTTTATATTACCTATGTTGAATTTATATTTAAAAGAAAATGCACAAAAATAAGGAAGTAAATCGATGTTTGTTTGAATTTCAATTGGAATGTTTCTGCTTTCAAATTCAATAAACAAAAGTAAACGAACGGAAAATCCATTCGATATTTGCATTTTCAATTGACATGTTTGTTCTGTGTTTTTCTTTTTCGCAGTAGGCTTGAAATGAATAAGACACAATACATTTGAAGTGCAAAGAGAGCGAGATAGGGAGTGATAACGAAAATACATCAAACGTCACATGGGCAATGTTGTAAGTGTGTATGTTGTCAATTGAAATTATCGCACGTGCCTTGTGATTGAGTCACATTTACGGAGGGATCTATGACTAAAACTCCTTTTACATGTTTAAACACATTGTTTTTTGTTCATTGTTTGCTGAATGCTCTAGTTCATGTGTAAATTTGAGCCGAGTTTTTTCGTTTTGCTACTGAAATGCGATTGCTTTCAATGTTTCTCGTGTCAAAAGATGCCTAATATACGATTACGCACAGTCAAAAATGAACACAAGTATCAGTCAGTCACACCATCTACGTTGCACACACACGGCAAAGGGAGTGAATGTGAAAACGACTGATTTGAATGCATCAACCGGAAAATTATATTTTAACAAACACACTTTATTCGATTTGAACAAAACGCAATTGTTTCACACCGAACAAAAAGTAATTTGACGCGTGCCTTATGGGCGTTGACATTAGTTATCTCTTTATGGCACACATGATCTTTTCTGTAAATAAACATACGCCACCAAAAAAAAGAGCATTTACAAAGAAAAAAAATGAAGAAGAAACGAACAAAAACACATCAAGCAAAAATCACGAATTCATTTTTTTAAAGCTCTTGAATGGGAGAAAGACTGGAAAAGAGAAGATAAACAGAAGAGCGAATGAGAGCAAAATGTAACGAATAACACAAGGAAACTAATAAACTTGACGGTTTTTATCATCATGCTAACTGTTTTAACGATCGCATTCACGCACGTATTATTATTATTATTGATGTTTTTTTTTGTATGAGAGCGCGAGCACGATTGCAGTGACATTTCAACAGGAGCACCGATTATAGACATATTGTCGTTGGCAAAAGAAGAAGTGCATATAAATTGATAATAATAATAAATTAACCTTCAATGTGTTTAATTATTATTATTCGTGCTCGGCAATAAACATATGCATAAAATGATTTCGTTAACAAATAAATTGACAATATGACTGACACTGCAGAAGAAATTCGAGGCAAATTCTAAATACCATACAAGGTATTACATAGTTCCTGGCCAATGGGGATTTGAATTTATTTCTTAATTGGTCTGGCTATAGGTCTTGCATTTTTTCTTTCAGACATGAAATGTCAATGGAAGCGAAAAATACGTAGGTTGCTCCATAATTTTTTTTAAAATGGTACTTATAGTGTTGCCCGATGTAAACCATTGTCATATTCGTAAAGTTTGATGTTTTGGTATGTATTCGTGCCCTGAACCTTTTGTCGTACGAACGCTATTTGTATTGTTCACAGTGACTGGTAAACTGCGACTCAACAAAAAAATGAATTTTACACGTGAAGATTTTCGTAAAATGATTTACTACGATTTTCGAAGTAAATTATCTCAACAACAGTGTTTCGATCGACTTCATTTGGCCTTTGGCAATGAAGCACCAACCCTTCAGACAATTTATAACTGGTACCGAGAATTCCGTTGCGGTCGTAGTTCGCTCAAAGACGAGTTTCATACAGGTCGTCCAAAATCGGCTGTTGTGCCACAAAACATCGATGCTGTCAGAAAACTGATTATGGAAGATCGTCATGTGACCTACCGTGAGATTGAGGCATCTTTGGGCATTTCATCCCACAGCATACATACAATTTTGCATGAACATTTAGCCGTAAAAAAGATTTGCTCTCGTTGGATCCCACATAAATTGACCGATGAACAAAAAATGGCTCGTGTGAGTTGGTGTAAAGAAATGCTCAAGAAATTCAATCGTGGTGCTTCAAAAGACGTTAATAAAATCGTCACTGGTGACGAATCGTGGATATATGCCTATGAGCCCGAAACGAAACAGCAGTCGACTGTATGGGTCTTCCAAAATGAAGATAACCCAACGAAAGTTGTTCGAGCAAGAAGCACTTCGAAGCGAATGGTCGCCTGTTTTTTCGGGAGAAGTGGTCATGTGGCAACCGTTCCACTAGAGGATCGTAAGACCGTCAATTCTGATTGGTATACCACCATTTGTTTGCCCGAAGTGTTTGGTGAAATAAGAAAAAACAACCACCGTCGCAAAATAATTCTTCATCACGATAATGCGAGCTCTCACACATCTTTTCAAACTACTCGATTTTTGACCGGTCAAAACATCGAACTGATGGGTCATCCACCGTACAGTCCTGACCTGGCACCCAATGACTTTTTTTTGTTCCCAAGCGTGAAGAAAAAACTACGTGGTCAACGATTTTCGACACCAGAAGAAGCAGTTGAAGCGTTCAAAACACACGTTTTGGAGATATCAGTTTCGGAGTGGCACGAATGCTATGACAAATGGTTTCATCGAATGCAAAAGTGTATCGATCATCTCGGGGAATATTTTGAAAAACAATAAAACCATTTTCGACAAAAAACAACTGTGTTATATATGTTTTTAAAAAAAATTATGGAGCAACCCTCGTAATACGAAATTTATTTTCGGGAAATGGTCCAATATTCGTCTCATTCCCAAAGTGAAAATGATTTTAATAGGAAAATTTCCTTCGCGGTTTCAAAGAACAATATAACTCAAAAATGTCAAACATTTATAAATATAAGCATTGAGTTTTTGCTTAAATTTAACGAAACACTGAGAGACTCCACTTGGTATAAAGATAGAGTTTTAGATAGCAAGCTAGATAGAATCTAGTAAATAAAGTACATAATGTAACTCTTAACTCTCTGTAAGGTCTGTCAGATTCATAAATTGCTGGAGCTAAGTAATTTAGTCTGACAGAAGCTGTTGTCCAATTTACAGCAATTAAATTTACGTTGAAATTTTTCTTTTTAAATATATGTCGGAGTTTATTACCATCAGTGAAGCTATTTACAAAATCTCCTTTGGAATAAAAGCCATGGATAATGATTAGGGTGGAATCTGTTCTGTTAAATTTCTCGAAAGAAGTTATATTGTTTAAGTCAAGTCTTTGTGAATTACTTGGATAGTTCGGTGTATATACTATAAATCAAACTTTGAATTTTGAATCTTCATCTTTAATTATTGTGCGGACTGAAATAACCAACATTAAACTCAATAAAATAATTGTCCTCATTTTTTTTATACGCTACAATCACTGTATTAACACAATTGAGATAGTTTTCTTGTTAAGCATAATAGATAAACAGGGCTGAATAGTTTTTAAGCAGTTTAATTTTAACAGTTGAATTGAAATTTTGAGGATTTGAAGAAGATAGCTTGAATAGTTCCAGGTTTGAATCGAAACTGTGCTGCGTTGTCGGCATAATATTATTATTTTAAGACATTTACTGTGTTTTTTTATACAATTGCTAGACATTTTTTGTTCAATATGGGGTCTAAATTAAGTGCATCTTCATTTTCTGCTATGTTGATATTATTCGTTCTGTCTTATTTTTAAATCTTTGCCTGAACTATAGGTATTATCAGTGGCTTATCAAGGGTCTCTGTTTATGATATTTTTGGTTTAAATATATCAACAAACCACTAATCGAGTTTTCTTTCTCTTTTCAGTAAAAAAAATGCATTTTTCTTTTTTTTCAGTCATTTATGTTTTTCTAAACCAAAAATCGCATTTGAATCAATGCATAGAACCGTTACCATGTTATTCACTGAACATGCTTTCTAATTCATCATAAAATTTTAAGAAACTAAGGTCAAAATGAAATGATATATGTCAATAAACATCAACGAATTTGTGTCGGTTTTTATCGTTGTCAAGGATTCGGAAGTTTTTCCTTTCAGCTTAATTTGATTATAAAACATGCAACCTCGACCAAAAAAAAAAAATTGTCGCGAATTATGAAGAAAACGTAAGCTTAGTGGATTTTGATTCAAAGAAAAATGAGCAATCGCAGTCATGTTTACGAAAAATGAACTTAAAAATAATAGAAATAACAAGAAGTGCTTGGATCTTATAATCTGTTGCTTATTTATACCGTTTTGACGCATAAACAAAGGTGTGATTCAAGAGAAAAGGAACCTAATATGAAAACAAACTATAAAATGATTCAAAAAAACAACAAAAATCATTCAAATGGGAATCAAAATGAATAATTTATGAGCGGAAGTGATAATGTTAACTCTGGCGTTATTTTTAATCCACAATGTTTGATAACACAGCGATTTGGCTCAACTCAAATTCAAAAATGAATGATACATTGGTCGCTAGTATAAAAACATTGACATTGAAGCGAGCTGATACCAGACATAGTCCACTCCGTTGCGTCTCATTAACAGCAACATGCGTCGTATACAAGCTACCTCAAAGTTTGTGCGCGCCATCAAATATTAATGACCAAAGCGTTCAAAAATCATTTGCATTCAAATATGTTACGGAAGTATCGGTGTGTTTTATCACTGCGGTTTCACGATGTTTTGAAAAGTCACAGCATCTCGCGTCATACGTCAATTTCTTTAAAAAAAACAACATCTTTGGTTTTTTTTAAATGGAAATCCATTGTTTCCGATGCCAACCGTACATGTATTGAGATTCGATAAATTTATAGCTGTTAATTTATGCTCGATTCGAGACCAATGTAACTGCAAAGGCCAATACCCATATATTTCCATAGCAAACGTTGACACCATCGATCAATACGATTTTGAAAATTTAATAAATGCATTTGTTGATTTACAAATGTAAAGCAAAAAACCATGCTATAATCAGATTAAAAAAAAACTTCAACTGTAACATTTGTTTACACAAAATCGAACGAATCGAGTGATGAAGGAAATGAGAAGAATTTATGTCAGTACTTTGTTCAATAAATTTCAGTCGGAAGAAAATGAAATGACGCCGAAGTAGAAATGTTAAACTTGAAAATGTCATCGAAAATTATGCTGTTTACACATGCAATTAAGCAAAACTAACAGTGAATTATGCGATGTCGATAAATAAAATGCCGACCGATGACTGATCGTTCAAAGTATGTATAACATGTGTAAAATTTAATAACATCGATATGCTTCCCGGTCGATCGAACCGCTTGCCATTCGGTCGTCTGTGATATTTTTAGTATTCATCGCGTCCATTTTTGGTGGTCATAAATATAAATTATCAGATATTTGCTTTGGAATCTGCTCATCGTTTGGCATTTTAATTGATACTGGCTACTGTTTTGTCACTGTTGAATGTTATTAACCTGGAAAAATGGTGGCAAACATGCACTCTGCATCCAACAAGGTTGATTGTGCATTTGAACTTGAAACCCATGATGGCAGACCATAAACATATGAGTTGATACCAAAAAAAATAATGGTAGCATGTGAAAGTATATCTAACGTTAATCGCTTGGCATTGAAAACAAACCAAACGCGATGGAAAAAATTAATTACAAAATTCAATATGAATACAACGAGCTAATGTGTCTCCCATAATCATCAGCTATTACAGTAAAAATCAAGCTATCTGATCAGATTATGTTTTAAGACCCGTCGAAATTTGAATGGCACGCATGAGGCTGACGGTTGTTGACATGCAATCGATGTTTCTTTCGTGTACGTCTCTTCCACATTCATCGCACACTTGTTGCTCGGTGCTGTTTTTTGTTGTCGTTTGGTTTTTGTTTTGACGGCATTGTTCATATGGTAATCACAGTGTTTGAAACTGAATGAATTGTAACCGATATTTTGTACGGTATGAGCTAATCAATCCCTTTAAATTTGTTAGCTTTGGAACTAAACGGTTTGTTTCTCTTTTCAACCGAAACCATTTGTCACTTTTTTTTGTAGTTTTTGATGAATTGAATCGAATTGATTAAATAATAGATCTCTATTATAGAATTATTTGAACATTATTTTAAACTCTCAAATATTGTATTGAATGCAAATAATTAACGAACATTTGATGACACCGCCAATTTTTGCTTGAATAAATGAGGAAAAAATTGCGGCTGTTTTCAAGAAGTCTTTTCAAGTCTTTAACTTATTTCAAATGAAAAAGAAAGTTGTTTCCACATTTAAAAGAACCTGTGATGATGATGTGACAAAAAACAAGCTAGTTCAAGGTCTTTTATGGATATATTTGCAAAAGATTCCTGTTTTTTTTTTTAATCAAAGTGATATCTTTTCGTGAGACTATTCACAGACTGAATTTTATTCATCGCAATATATAAAGAGTCTTCTCTTTTTTCTGTCGTTTGAATGACCAACTTTTTCGACTTTAGAAGTAATTGCTTCGATTAATGGAGTAACTGGATTCCTATTTACATGCAAAATGAAAAGAAAACAATTCCGTTAGCCTCTCTAAATTCATTCAAAATGAAACGGCTTGATGCCATTTAATCCAATAAACAATGTTTGTATGAAAGTTTGAAACTAAAACGTTATGACGTTTTCGATTTGTTTTCTAGAAACTGTGCCACACCTTTTGTTTACAAATTTATTGAATGAATTCGATGAGTAAAATCAAAAATAGCATCAGAAAAATATGTTATCAAATTCGTCTAAAAATCAGTAAAATATATATATATTTTTTAGTTTTTGGTTCTGCGAACTCAGCTTGTAAATAAACAAATTGATATCAATCTACTACGACATTTAACATAATACGATATTTCACACTTAAATGTCAAAGCAAACTGGCTGGTTTCATTTGAGAATATGTTCTCGTCTATGGTGGTAAACAAATCAGATTACGAAAAATTCTCCGTGTAAAACAACGAACTCATGTAAATACAACGAATTTATTTTTAAACATTCGAGCGCACGCAACGCGTTTTGCAATTGTGTACTTTGGCACTTTTTTTCCATTTTGATGGATGTCAACTACAGCGCAACTACGTCATAAAAACAACGTGACGAAAAAATAGATGTAATATCAGATTTGAATAATATTTACGACCGATAAAGTGAATATGTTTCAATAGGAAGACAACGAGGAATTGCTGACTGTGTAACAGTCACGTATACCTCAATAGATCACCAACATGTAGATTTTAACATTGTCTTTCCTTGGCGAATATCTAATTTGATAATGAAAATTTGAAATGATTTTGATAATCTGCTGGCAATCATAATGGCAACGCATGAAAATCATTGAATTATTTTTTCTCTTTATCCTTCATTTTGGTGTTTTTATTCGTGTTTCAAATAACGTCTATACGAAATAGCCGGTCGATCATATGTGAACGTTGTGCATAAATTTCAATATCACACTGAACTTGAATTGGGCAAAAGTGAGCTGAGTGAACATGTGAACCAATATTTCGACAACGATCGCGACAACGTACGATGGGAAGAAATATCGCAAAATGGGAGACAGAAACAGTCAATCGAAATTATAGCATTAAGATTTTTTTTTTGCTCTCATCGCCAAGCAGCATATTTAATCGTATGTGTATGTTTCTTCCGATACACAATCATTTTTGCGACTGGCCTGTGATTAATATTATGATGTGATTGTGTGTGCTTTGTAGCCGCTGTATGTGTTTACGTGCGAACACGGCTAGCATTTTCACCACTATTCGGCGGCGAGAAGCAGCGGTAAGAAGTCAATAGAAGTGTATATTCAAGATCAAGTATGGAACCTAGATCATTTTAAAGCATATCGATATGCTATCAAAATTTTAGTCGCGTCGCAACAATTGATCAGAATAGACGCTTGAATCGGGACCGACCACCTTATAGTTAAGAATTAATTTACGAAAAAAGGGTTGCAGTGTTAAATTGAGAACTCTTATCGTGTTTATGTGCGCAAATAATTTAATGCATCTCGTTTTTTTAATTGTTACACAAAGTTCAAAAGAACAACGCATATATATATAAAAATCGAAATTGACGAAAGAGTTGAAAGAGCAAAAGGCACCATCAAAAGAATAAAATTGATAAAAATGAAGAGTATTATATTGCAGCGTGTTCTTTCAATATTCACATATTTTTCACCGGTTACGACGGTGCTATTGGTTTTATTGGCCATTTACTTCGTTGCATTTAAATTGAGACGACGACGCATTGAGTATCTTATTGGAAAGGTGCCTGGGCCACAGCCATTGCCTCTCATTGGAAATATGTTGGAAGTTTCAACGGGATTCGATGGTAAAAATAATATTATGACATACACTTGAATCATTGAAGTTGAATGATCCAGTCCAATTTATATAAAATGTTTAATTTTAATTGTGCCCCGCGTTAAATGTGTGCGCCGTGCATTCAATTCAGGCGAATGTTATCGAACTAATTATATTGTATGATGTGATATAAAAGTGATGTGCTAATTTATAGTATGTGCATTGTGAGATTAACATTTTTCAATCTAATTTATTGGGCGAATGAAAGAAACGACGAAGAAGAAAAAAAATGTTTAAGTTCAAGGAGAGCCTACAGACATTATTATTTATATTATTACTAACTGGATGCTGTTTTATTGTTTTATGTAATTAATCATGGATTTCTTTGCTGAATAAAGGGAAAGGCATCGATCATTTTCGCAAATTTGAAATTTCTCCACGGATTTGATCGGATTTGAATATCCAATCTAATCGAGAATTTATGTTGCGTATCAAATGTTTTTTTTTTTTGTGAAAACTAGTTCTGGATGTGCGTCACAAACCCAAAGAATTTGCAAAAGAAATATACGAATTGAAAATTTAATAGACCAAAAACTGTAAATTTCAATATATCAAATAACTATCGCGTTTCAAATGACGTAGATAGAGATGAAAACAACGAAATTTCGAGAGGAAAAATATGAGAAAATCTCATAATTTGCATGAAATCAAGTTTTTTTTTTAACAAGAACTACTCGACACAAAGAAGACTAAATTCAAATGTATTAACGTCAATTACGTCAATAAGATCACGACTGGAAATATTGATAAACGACTATTTTTTGAGGAGAATATAAAGGATTTTGAATTGATTGTCGAACCGGTATAAAAATTTCTTTTAGACCTTAATGTCTTACCTTGACAACAAATTTACGTAAAAATTGGCATTTTTTTATCGAAAAAGTATATTCTCTAGTTTGATTGTTACAACTCTTCTTCAACATAGGCTTCTTTTGGGTACTTTAGTTTGTTTAGAAATTGTTGCAAAAACACGCGTCCTCCAATTTAAAGTCGAGATAAAACAAGTTGAAATAAAACCTTTGCAAATTATTTTATCAGTTCACTGAACCGCCAAAATCAGTGAGATCTAATAATTTATTCATATACCGATTGATTATATTTTTCCCCTCTGTCTTATGGTGCTATAAAGATGAAACGGCGCATTTCGGCAATAACATATATTATTGACAGGTTTTATGATGTTTGAATAACCTTTTGCGTGTCGGAAATAAGCTATAGTGAATAATCATTGGCAGTGAGTCACTGTAACATATTGTAATCGTAAATGTGAATGATTAAAATGAAAGAAGACAAAGACCCGTGAAAGTGATATGATGTAATAGTTTCAAATCTACACCGGTTAATCACATGTGTTTATTCAATTTTTTTTTACAGAGTTGTTCGCTAGATTGACTGGTGTAAAGAATTTCTGGGGCCGAAATAAGGGAATTTGTCGAGCATGGCTTTTAAACGATCCATACATTTATCTAACAGAAGCATCAAAAGTTGAGGTATTATAATTTTTAATCAGTTTTTTATCATTGATTTATTATATGCATCTCGAGATCATCGCCAATGCGGAACTAACTAATTTGTTTAATTTGATGCAAACATAAACACACTATTCAATCGTTTATCTTATTTACGTTCACGTTTGTAGGTAATCATGTCGAGTCCAAAGCACATTGACAAAAGTCAAGATTACGATTACCTGCATCCTTGGTTGGGTACGGGTCTTTTAACATCGCGTGGCAAAAAATGGCATGCTCGTCGAAAGGTATGTTTGCTACTATGAAACGCGTCTATAAACAATCAATTTCTTTGTATATCTAATCGAAACACATGAAAAAAACATGACGTCAATTCAATTGCATTCAATTTATGTGTACGTTTTTTTTGTTCATCAATCAGATTTTAACGCCAACATTCCATTTTAAAATATTGGAGGATTTCATTGACGTATTTCAAGAGCAGAGCGCCGTTTTAGTAACAAAATTGACACGAGAAATCGGCAAAGAGGAAGGCTTCAATCTCTTCAAATACGTCACCTTGTGCACATTGGATATTATTTGTGGTATGTTTCGCTTTACGAATTTTTTTAAAGAGAATTATTTTTAGTAATTTTTTAAATAATTTTTCCGGGAATAATTCACTTCAATTTCAGAAACGGCTATGGGAAAAAGTATCGACGCACAAAGTAACGGTGATTCACAATACGTAAAAGCGGTGTACAAGTAAGTAAAGCCATGGGGATATTCATGCAATTCTGGTGTTTCTAGGGTTTCTAGTGCGTGAAGTTGACTCCTTCATATACAATTTGTATAAAAAATAATACTGCGAACTTCACGCACTAGAAACACACTGCTAGTTCTTCTAGTTTTCCTAGTATGAATATCCCCTTGAGTAAAGCAATTTCAACAAAAATTATGTTGAATTATCAAAATGAAATTGCATTTTAGAATCGGTGAAATCGTTCAAACTCGTCAAGTAAAAGTGTGGTACCATCCCGAATTTTTGTTCCGCATGTCAAAATTGTATCAAGAACATCAGAGTTGTATTAAGACATTGCATGGCTTCTCAAATCGTGTGATTAAAGAGCGTAAAGCCGAGATCGCTTATCAGAATAACAACAACAACAACAATCAAGATAATAACAACAGTGCCAATGTGAAAAATTTAAATTTACAAGAAGAGACGGACGATAATAAATATGAAATTTTGGACTTTCCACGAAAGAAACGATTGGCTTTCTTGGACTTATTGATTGAAGCATCAAAGGATGGAAAAGAATTGTCCGACGAAGATATTCGCGAAGAGGTTGACACATTCATGTTTGAAGTAAGTGAACAAAAGAAGAACTTATTTGGAATGATTTTCATTGACGATATTCGTTTGTTTATTATTCAGGGTCATGACACAACATCAGCTTCAATTTGTTGGACGCTATTTTTATTGGGCACAAGTCCGCATATACAAGAAAAAGTAGTTGAAGAGCTTGATTCAATATTCGATGGGGATCGTACGCGGCCACCAACCATGAAGGAATTAAACGATATGAAATATTTGGAATGCACAATCAAAGAATCATTACGACTGTATCCGAGTGTACCTTTTCTCGGACGTCATTTGCATGAAGACGTTCAAATCGGCGAATACCTCATTCCAGCGGGAA